ACGCGCATCTAAAATAGGTCGACGTATACAGTAAATAAACAGCGTCTCTCGGCTGCCATATTCAATTAGTGAAATACACATCCAGCCTTCTTCGCAGTCCTGGATGTGTGCAAACTAGAAACACAGTCCCCCTCATCCATCATCCTCCAAAAAAAAAAAAAAAAAAAATCAGCGTCTAGTCTCAATCTGCTTGACAGAAGTACTCCGCACAGCGGACTTCACGACGTTCCAGGTTGAGCCTGTGCTGACAGCTCCGCATCTCCCCAATGAACAGGGAAAGACCTTTCGCAGAACAAAACGGAGGGCAGGCAGCGAATGCAGTAGCATCAGGTGCCGGCAGACTGGACGCTGGGCCTTCTGCGCAGCTTCCTGCCTGGCAGGTTGTCCCTAGGGCCGCGCAGACAGTACTTGATGGTGTGCGCATTGTCGCCGCTGGCGCCTCACAGGGGGCACGTGTAGCGACGCAGAACCGGGCACAACACTCTCCCGTCGGGGCCCTTCAGGATGTGGGTGGTGTAGAGAGCCACCGCCTCCTTGTTGTTCCCGCAGAACACGCACACCTGCAGCTCGGGTTTGAGCAGCCAGGCGGCGGCCGTCCCCGAGGTAGCTCGCAGTCGGGGCTCAGTCGCCCACGCCGGGGCCCGCTCCTCTCGCGGCGTCACCTGGGGGGGGGGGGTGGCGGCGGCGGGCACGCAGCCCAGCAGCACCTTGGCGGCGCGACGGCGAACGGGCTCAGCTCGGTGAAGCGCTCCTCCAGCAGACCATTTTCCACGGGGCATGCGCATAGCTCCAGCGCGTGTAGCTCCAGCGCGACCCCCAGGAAGCGGCCCAGGACCCCGGCTCATCTCTGTCGTTGTCTTCGTCGTAGTCCTTGTCGTAGTTGGCCGGCCCCAACGCCCGGGCTCGACCCCCGTGTGGGGGGAGCAACAGGACAAGGACGACGAAGAGGGCGGAGAGCCGCCACCACAGTCCTCGCCAAGGGCGCAGCCGGAAGCGCGGTTCGCCATCCACCGCCCTGGTGATGAGCATAGCGAGCCCCAGGTAGTCGTTCCAGGAGCTGAATTGCTGCCGGTGCGCCTGACCCTGGGCACTCACGTAGCGAGCACTGGGCACGACCGCCACGGGTGCGGGGGCGGGGCCACGGCGGGGCGAGCATGGTGTCCAGGGAAAAGCCTCCAAGGGCGGGCTGTGGGCTGCAGGAGTCACACCGCCTCCCTGCCGCCAGCCAGATGGAAGGGACAAGCCAAGCCTGCCCGCCGGCCAGCCGCTTAAACAAATTTTTGATACTAGGGATGAAACCCAGGGGTGCTCTACCACTGAGCCACATCCCTAGCCCTCAATTTTTTTCATTTTCAGACAGGTTCTCACTAAGTTGCTGAGGGCCTGGCTAACTTGCTGAGGCTGCGAATGCAGCTCAGGGGTAGTGTGTTTACCTAGCGGGCAGGAAGGCGGAGTTCTATTCCCACCCCAGGAAGGGGGGAATCCTTCACCTCAGTCTTTTCCCAGCTACCCTGAAGCCAGGGTTCTGTGTCCTCTGCATGTGCAGCCACATGCTAAGTTTCATCTCTAAGTGCCCAGAGGAAAGCTTTTCCTATGCACCTGACTGGGAAGGCACACAGTAGCGGCACAGCTACTTCCTGACAGGGACCTGGGCCATGGAACATCCAGTTGCACCAGGTTAAAGGGCACCTGTCTACCCAGTAAGCACAGGAGGGGACACAGATCCAGATGTTCAGGGGAGGCCTAATGTCCCTCAGTATCCCCATCAGCTTAGCACGAAGCGGGCCAAACCATCAACATGGAGAGTAGGACACTGATTGGTCTCCAGAGGGGCGGGGCACACGCTCTAGGCTTAACTGGCTCAGCCTGGCACAGTGCAGCAGGTGGTTCTCCAGGACTGATGAGGGGAGGCACCATACAACCTGAACATGGTGAGCTGGGAGCAGCGGCTCAGGGAAGGCGGGTGGCATGGAGCTGCGAGTCCATGACCTCACAGTCTGCAATTCCAGGGTCTGCAGAGTAGCTACGACCTTTCTGTAGCAGAACTTGGAGGGGCACAAGACTTAAACTGGACATCTTTTGGAGGAAGGGGGACTGGGAATTGAACCCAGGGGTGCTCTAACACAGACCTACATCCCCAGTTCACTTCCTTTTTTATTTTGAGACAGGGTCTTGCCAAGTTGCTGAGGAACTAAGTCACTGGGGCTAGTTTCAAACTTCTGATCCTCCTGCCTCAGTCTCCTGAGCCACTAGGAATAGAGGTGTTCACCTCCACACCTGGCTTTAAATTTTGATGTCATCAAGATTCAGCTGTCTGATACCCAGGCCCAGGGACAGATGCTTCAACTCTGATTCCAAGTACAGCGAGTTAGTAATTGAGAGGGTCTGGTGGGAAGGGTTGCCTAAGGAGACACCAGGCAGTTAATTCTGAGGAGCAATGTCAAGGTGGGAGAAGACAAAGTGGCCCAAGCCCAAGGTCACCCTGACCCCTGATGATGGTCAACACCCAGGATTCTGCCTGTTGCAGAATCTGCTCATTCACATCACCCATTTCAGGGTAAGCCTTACACCAGGTAGGTCCACCATCTGCAAGGCCTCCATCCCTGCTGCTCACCCTCAAGTTCGAATCACCACCTGAGGCTCAGAGCAGCCTTCCCCAGGGGGGCATTGGAGGTGGCTCTCTGCTCCCTGCTGGAGAGCACAGAGCTTCCCTGTTACAAGGTGCAGGTGTGGGGGCTTCCCTCCTTCAGCACCCTCCCCTCTACCCTGCTTCTCACCACCTTCACTGGACAGGCCTCCCCGGGAAGGAACCTCACACCCACCTCACTAGCTCCTCTCCTCACCACCTGGCTTCCCAGCAGAGTTCTGCAGACCACAGACCCCTGTTTAGCCCTCTGCTTCTGTGTGGGTGGTGATGAGTCCATCCTTCAGGACTAAACAGGAGACCAGACCCTGAGGTCCCTTGGTCACTCTCCAGCATCTCCTTCTCTGACATCACCAGTGGCCAGGGTATAGCAAGTGCAATTTATTTGTTCATTTATGGTGCTGGGGATGGAACCCAGGGGTGCACTACCACTGAGTCACATTCCCAGTCCTTTTTATTTTTTGAGGCAGGGTCTCCCTAAATTGTTGCAGCTGGCCTTGAACTACTGATCCTCTTGCCTCAGCCTCCTGAGTTGCTGGGCTTTTAGTTTTGTGTCATTGTGTTGAGCAGCTGAGGCAATTGACCCTACCTTAAAATAAAATTATTAAAAGGACTGAGGTTGTATTTCAGTGCTAGAGAGCCTCAGGGTTCCATCCCAAGTACTGAAAGAAACTTTTAAAGAGAAATTATAAAAGCTGGGTTACAAGATCATAGAGGATTTGAATCTTAGAGATGGAAGGGAAACCTCTTAATTATCTCAGTTCTGGGTTTAGGGAGACCTGGGATGTCTTGTCTTCTTCAGGTAAGAGGGAAATTTCCTTCATAATCAGAGCATAACCTACGTAATAGACTTTCTCTTTATTCCTTTTTTTTTTTGGGGGGGGGGGTGTACTGGGATTTCACTCAGGGGTACTCGACCACTGAGCCACATCCCCAGCCTTATTTTATATTTTATTTAGAGACAGGGTCTCACTGAGTTGCTTAGTGCCTCACTTTTTGCTGAGACTGGCTTTGAACCTGCAATCCCACTGCCTCAGCCTCCCGAGCTGCTGGGATTACAGGCATGTGCCACTGCTCCAGGCATAATGGATTTCTTCTGCAGAGAACTCAAGTTTATCCAAGGAGGTCTTATGGCTCTCATTTGCCACCTACTGTTAAAGGGGAAGAAAAACTAGTTTAGAATCCTGTGCGGTAGGAGACCATAAAACAAATCATTTGCAAATTGAGTGAGAGGCATTTCTAGGACATTGTATGGTTGAGAGGTCTTGGCGTGATGCCTGAGAGGGGTGATGTGGGGTTTCAGGGCACACTTGTAGATTCCCAGTCTGGGTTTATTGCTGATTTATCAGAAGGCAACAGTGTTGGCTCTGCTTATCACCTGGGTACCAGAGACAGCAGAGTGAAGGTGTCTGCTGTGAACCATTTGGAGTCTGTAGGCCCATTAGATGACAGGTGCTGGGGTTTGGAATTACAGGAAATCTTGCATTTATAATTTTATCTATTGCACCTAACTCTTGGGTACATGTCCAACCTCCCTTTAGGTTTCTTCACTGTTGGGTTGTTAAATTTTACAAGGACTTATAAGTTCTCTACAGTAGTAGGGCACCCTAGGATTCAATCCCCAACACACACACACACACACACACATACACACACACACACACACATACAAAGACTCAGACTATTTTTCCCTGAACCTCAGCCCTTGTGGATAAAGCTGTGGTCCACTATGACCTGAATAACTCAGATGGAAGTCTCCTACTAATCTCAGATAAACTCCTTTGGAGAGCAGGTTAGTGTTCTCAGTTCCATGGGCAACCACAGGTGCATTACCCCATCGAACAGCCACATGCATCAGAACGAATGGCACCCAGAGAGAAGTAAAGAATGGATGGTGTACTCAGAATGGCCCTGCATTATTGTGATGCCTTGAGGTCCTCAGCTCCAGTGTCACTGATCAGCACTGATCAGCCACTGGGTTAGCTTCCTGACCTTTAAGCTGAAAACCCTGGAGGACAGCAGAGGCTCTGCATCAAGTTCCCCAAGTGGCTCATTTGCAAGTCGCTCATTTGCAACCATCCATGCAGGAGTCATGCCCTGTGTACCTCTCAGCACAAATCTACTTCCAGAAATTCAGATTCCTGTTTCTGACTCCTAAGACACATGTCCCCATTGGTTCTAAGTCTCCTGATGGGAACCAACCCTCTGTGACCCAGGCCTCCTTCATCAGCTTTTCTGTTCCCACTCGTGTTAAGTAGTTCCCTGGCATCCTGTTTCTAGTTCCCCTTGGAGAGACACTCGTGTCTTACCTTTATTTTCAAGTGCACAGGAGAACATTTCTCATATATGCATCCCACTAGGCAGGAAGCCAACAGCGACACGGACTGGAGGGCAGGTTATAGATAAACCAGTTGCCACATCTATGGCAGGGTTTAGTATAGAAAAGGACATTCTTTGGCTCTCTCACATCCCTCAGTATCTCCATCAGCTCATCGATGAGTTGGAAAAGTCTCCCTGGGTGGATGGCACCCTGGGCATCATAGCTCTCCAGAGGGGCAGGGTACTTCTCTAGGCTCAACCGGGTCAGCCTGGAAGTGTGAAGCAGCAGGTTGCTCAGGAACGACATGGAGATGTCATTCCCATTGAAGCTCAAGACCCTGAGCTGGGAGCAGCAGCTCAGGACAGGGAGGATGGCCTGGAGCTGGGAGTTGGTGATCCCACAGTCCTGCAAGTTTAGGGTCTCAAGGGTGGCTGCAGCATTCTCTAGCAGAATGACGAGGGGCTCAGGACTGAAACTCGTCAATTTGCTGCCCCACAGCGTCAGGTGTATTAGCTGGTCGAGGTTTGGAGACCCCGACAGATCATTCCAGTCTGGATCTGAGAGCTGGCAGTCGGTTATTGAGAGGGTCTCCAGGGGGGTCTTCAGGAGCCTAAGCAAAGTTCAAGCAGTTAGTTCTGAGGATGATGTCAAGGCAGGAGAAGACAAATTGGTCCAAGCCCAAGGACACCCTGATCTTCTGATGATGGTCTCCACCCAGGACTCTGCCTGTTGCAGAATCTGCTCGCTTGTGTCACCCTGTTTCATGCTGAGCCTTTCACACCCACTTGAGTGACCAGGTGGGTCCATCATCTATAAGGTGCCCCTCCTGGCTGCCAAGCAGAAAGCCACAGCTGTAGCAGAGGGGGTCAGGGTGAGACATGCACAAATAACAAACCCAGGCAAGATGGAGCCGCACAAACTGGGGTTGCCTTCCTGCGGGGCTCACACCTGTACCCTCCACCCCTGCTCCTCACCCTCCAGTGCAGAATCACCACCCAGAGCTCAGAGCAGCCTTCCCCAGGGGGGCATTTAAGGCAGGTCCTCTGCTCCCCGCTGGAGAGCACAGAGCTTCCCTGTTACAAGGTGTAGGTGTGGGGGCTTCCCTCCTCAGGCGCCCTCCCCTCTACCCTGCTTCTCCCCACGTTCGCTGGACAGGCCTCCCAGGGAAGAAACATCACACCCACTCACTAGCTCCTCTCCCCACCACCTGGCTTCCCAGCAGAGTTCTGCTCCCCAGACCACGGACCCCTGTTTAGGACTCTGCTTCTGTGTGGGGGTTTAGGTGAGACCTGGCTTCAGGACAGAGTGAAACAAACACTTCATTGACTTTCTAACATCTCCATCAATGTTAAGTCACCATGGCTGGCACACAGCAGGTTCCCGCTGAAGTTTCATGTGACAAAGAGTTTGCTCTGATGTCCTAGGACAGTTCCCTCTGCTTCCTCACCTGAGCACCTGGCACAGACGGCCTTCTAGGAGGAAGACACCATCCAGGTACAGCCTCCGGAGGCTGTCCATCTTGGCAAACTGTGAGGTAATGTCATCCATCAACTGATCTCTCTCCTCCTGGGAAGCATAGGCAGACACATAGACGTGGGAGAAGAAGAGCTTCCTCAGGTTGCTCATCTGACCCCAATAGGTAGCAAAAGTAGCCAAGGTGGACAGTCTCCAGAAACACTGCATGTCCAACTGCTGGATAAAGTCCAGATCCAACCTCTCCAAGATCTTCTCGATGGTACGGACGGGCAAAGAGCACATCTGTAGCTTCTTGCAGCACAGCTGTATCAGACCCTTCCTCTCATCCACCCTGTGAAAGAGGAAGGAGAGGAATGCATTCAGGGATCTTTGCTGAAAGCGCAGGTTTACTAACACCTTCAAGGGCAGAGTGGGCCCTGTGTCTGGAGAGGCCTTCAATGTTTGCCTCTCCTTCATGACTCCTGGTGAGCAGGCATCGACCAAGGCTCCAGACCACATCCTCTAGAAGTTCCCATGAACCTTCCGCAAATCCAGCACCTGCAGTTTCCACCTCCTGCGGGGACCACAGCAGAGTCTCAGCCCTGAGGCCCCTTCCTTCACCTCTCAGCTGCTGCCCCCTGCTCCACCTCTTCCTTCTGTCTCACTTTTCTCTACCCCTTGCCCCTCCAATCCAGCCTGGTGCCCCCACCTGTATCAGCTGAGGGAGGGGCAGGCACAACCTCCTTCAGGGGTCAGCACAGCTGCCACAAGCACCTCCACATCTGGAAGCCCCACCAGGTGGGGCTCACTCCACCCCTCCTTGCTGGCAGCACAGGAAGCCTGTTGGGCACACTTCAGTACCCACTCTCCCTGCCCACAGCCATCACTTCCCTGGACACCAGGGAGCTACCTTCCAGGGTCCCCCTCACCTGGGGCGATCCTGCTGGGCAGCCAGCATGTCCAGCCCATCCAGTGCCGCTTGGATCATCTCCAGCTGTGGCTTCTTCATCAGGGCCCCCAGGGGCAGGTGGGTGAAGGGCCAGGCCTGCACCATTTTCTTCAGGACCTCAGTGTGTCCCCTGCTGAAGGCCTCCATGAAGAGTGGTGGGAAGAGCTGTATGGGCAGGTCCTCCAGAGCTAGGATGGCCCTGGACTTGTCCTTTAGGAGGCTGCGCCCTGCCAGCTCCTGGAGTGTGGGTGGCATCCGCTGCTCATCCTTTGGAGTCTGCATGGAGGGATCCTGGGGGATACCCCGCCCAAACACATCATTCACAGCCAAGCTCCATAGCTCTACCTTAAACCCACCCCGAGAAAACCACTCAGCCAAGTGGATGCTTTGGCAATTGATTGATCCAATTTCACTCCTTGGGTGGCAAACCAGGCCTGGTGGTTCAGGCCTATAACCCCATGGCTTGGGAGACTGTGACAGGAGGATCACAAATTCCAGGCCAGCCTAGAACTTAGAGAGACCACGTATCAAAATAGAAAAATAAAATAGGGTTGGGGATGTAGCTCAGTAGTAGAGTGCCCCTGAGTTGAATCCCTAGCTTCAGTAAATAAATAACTAAAGTGGGTGTCATTGGTTTTCATTTTTAAAGAGCAATTTTTAAATTAATTTACTTACTTACTTATACTTTTCTTCTTCTTCTTCTTTTTTTTTTTTTTTTGGTGATACTAGGGATTGAAGCAAGGGGTAGCTTACCACTGAGCTACACCCTTACCCCTTTTGGTTTGTATTTATTAACTTTATGGCACAGGATTAAACTCAGGGTGCTTTACCTCTGAGCTACATCCCCAGCCCTGTTTGTTTTTGATACCAAAGATTGAACTCTGGGTACTTAACCACTGAACTACATCCTCAGCTCTTTTTATTGTTTATATTGAGGCTGCTTAGTGCCTTGCTAATTTGCTGTGGATGGCTTTGAACACTAATCCTCTTGCTTCCTCAACCTCCTAAATTTCTGGGATTATAGGCATGTGCCACCAAGCACAGCAAAAAGTATAATTTTAAGGATGCACAATATAAATATTTTTATTATCAGAAAATATAATTCCAGGGCTGGGGATATGGCTCAAGCAGTAGTGCACTGGCCTGGCATGCGTGGGGCACTGGGTTCAATCCTCAACACCACATAAAAATAAAAAATAAAGATATTGTGTCTACCTAAATCTAAAAAATAAATATTAAATAAAAGTAAATAAATAAATCTTCCTTAAAAAAAGAAAATAGAATTCTAATCAATTAGATTGAAACAGGATTACAATCTACTTAAGTACTTTTAAAGTGTGTGGGGCTGGAGCTCAGTGGAAGAGCAGTTGCCTAGGACGTGTGAAGCACTGGGTTTGATCCTCAGCAGCACACAAAAATTAATAAATGGCGGGCTGGGGATTAGGTCAGTTGGTATATGCTTGCCTCATATGCACAAGGCCCTGGTTTCAATCACCAGCACTGCCAAATAAATAGATAAAAGAATGCAGTCCATGTAAACTTATTTAGTTTTTTTAAATGTGGGACATGTGTGCACAAGCCTATAATCCCAGGGGCTCCTGAGATTGAGACAGGAGGATCATGCATGCAAAGCCAGCCTCAGCAAGAGTGGCACTAAGCAATTTAGTGAGATCCTGTCTCTAAATAAAATATGAAATAGGGCTGGGGTGTTGCTCAGTGGTTGAGTGTCCCTGAGTTCAATCCCTGGAACCAAAAAAAAAAAAAAAAAGAAGAAATAATGAAAATTGAAAGAGACATAAACTAAAGTGGAAATCTTAACGTTCGGGATAAACGAAAAACTACACTGAGAGGCAAACCCTAAGTCCTAAATTGATTCATGAGAAAAAATAGAAAATTGTTCCTGAATCCGCACAGGTGAGGAGGTGACATGGTGGTGCTCAGGGCGGTGTGGGACTTACTGGATCTGTCCAGTTGTGCGGGGTGCTCAGATGTGGTGATTGTTCTCCTTGGGATCCAGGATTCTTGTGTTTCTCCTCTGGCTCCGCAGAAGCATTTATGCACCTCCTAGACCACGCCCCCACCTCCACCTTTTGACTAGTATCCAATCAGAAAGCAGTATCTAATAACATGCCCCAATCTCCACCCATGTAATCCTGAACGGATTTTCTTTCTCCAGATTAATTGATTGAATCCCATGTTTTTGCAGGAGGGCAGAATCAGGGAGATTGAGGGCCAGGGTTGCCTCCATCCATGCACTCCACACGGAGGACTGAATTTTGCCCGTATGTGACTCTCGTGTTCCTGCCTGGAAGACAGAAAAGCACTGAATCCCTACAGTAAGACAAAACAACCACCCCCAAATATCATTGTGATATCTTTGCCATATCCAAAATATTTTTTAAAAAAATATGTCCTAAAGATTCCATAGTAAAAACAGCTTTTTGAAGATACTAGCGTTATGCACGAAGAAAACAGATGGAAACCAGGTGTCCAACAGTCACATAGGTGTGACATTACCTTGCAGTAGATCAGGGCTACTCAGGAGGAAGAATGGACACCTGGGGTGAAATCAGTCTTCTAGACTTGGGGCAAGACTTGTCCTGTTTGTCTGTGTGAACTGGGGATTGAACCCATTGGTGCTCTACCACTGAGCCATATCCTAGACCTTCTCCTTATTTTTTTTTTCGATTTTAAGACAGGGTCTCACAAAATTGCTTTGGTCCTCATTAAGTTTCTGAGGCTGGCCTCAAACTTCCAATCCTCCTGCCTCAGTCTCCAGAGACACTGGGATCACAGGCATGGGCCGCCATGGCCCACCAGATGGAAAAATTGAAATCCACAGAGGGTGGAAACTGTGGGCAAGTTGGAATGTTGGACAGAAAGACACAGGTTTGGATACCAGGTGTCCCTGACTTCAGGACAGCCACCACCTGAGAGCCTTCCCTCAGAATCAGGAACCCCCCAGGGCACATCTCCCAGGCAAAGTTGGCCCCAGGCAGTTTCCAGGGCCCTTTGGGCTGTGAGAAGTACACAGACAGAGGAAAATATGAAGAGTCTAAAAAACATAATTCAGGAATTGAGGACAGCGAGACAGAAAGAGAGAGAGTGCTTGGATGATGAGCCATGTGAAGGGAGGATTTACAGGGAAGATGTAGAAGGAATGGTTTGATAGGCGGCAGATACAGAATTGCATTTCTGCTTTGTTGTTCTGTCTTTGTGTTAGTCAGCTTTTTCACGCTGTCACTACAACACCCAACCGCAACAACTACAGAGGAGGAAAAGTTTATTTGGGGACTCATGGTTTCAGAGGTCTCAATCCAAAGACTGCAGTGCATTGTTTGTTGCCTCACCTCCAAGATGAGGCTGGACATCATGGTGGAAGCTTGTGGCAGAGGGAAGTTGCTCACATGATTAGAAAGCAGAGAGAGAGAGAGATGGCCCCTTGCCAGATACAAAATATACACCCATATTCACACCCCCAATGATCAGCTTCCTCTAGCCACACTCTACCCACCCCCACTTATCACTAATCCCATCAGGGATTGATTCACTGAGTAGGTGAAGGCTCTAAACCAATCATTTCTCCTCGAAAACATTGTCACCTGTGAGCTGTTGGGAGACACAGCATCTAAACCATTATTGCTTTTTAGGCTCCACAACAATTGAAATCTAGTCTCTCAACTGAATTCTAAATCTCTCTGCCATTTGTCTGTGTGTTGCCAGGTGGAAAGAGTGACTTCACGCCACAGCCCTGCCTTCTCTTACCAACCTTGACTTGGTGCAGGAGGCAGGTAGATATTTCTGTCAACCTAAGTCACAACAGACAGTGGCTCTCCAAAGAACAAGGGTAGTCAGACATAATAGTGCAGGAAGGCAGGACACCCAAAGAAAGATGAGTCAGAGCCCCATCCAGGAGGCAAAGGGAGACAGGGTGTCAAAGGCAGCTTTGAATCAATTCTCACTGGCTCCACAGATTCAGTACCAAGGGTGGCCTCAGTTCAAGGAAAACAGGCAGCAACTGGCCAGGTATCCTCCTACATCACATGGGGGGTACAGGTTGGGGTAGGTTTTATGCACAGCTGAGGTTGTGGCTGACTGGTTTGTGATAGTTGTTGCACGAGGCAGTGCTGCCCACTGACCTTCTCCTCGCAGCACCCTCGCTCCCCCTCATCAGAATTTGACACATGTTACTCCCTGTTGATTTGGATGCCATTTATGTGTCCATCTTGTGATGAAGATCTTTTCTCCTGAAGCATCTTGAATCACCCATTCTTTGGTTAGGGTTTGATTCTATCTCAGTGCCAGGATGAACTTGTCCTGGTTGGTTCAGTCCCCACTGGGGGAATTATTGGATGACTAGGAATCAACATAGAGACCCATTGAGCCACATTTGAGCAATAGGTGGGTTTTCAGGGAGTGGCTCTCAGGCTCCCTCTACCTGGAAGTCACTGTTAAAATCAATTTTTTCTGTTCAATAGGCATTGGCTCTCTCATCTCCAGGTCCAGGCCTCTGATTTTCTGTTGGGAGCTGGGCTTTTGCAGAAAGTTTATAGTTTAGGTGTTCATTTGAAAAAAAAAAAAATATTTAGGTGGTGATTTTATTTAGTTTTAATTTTCTCTAGCAGTGGGGATTAAACCTAGGGAGGGTTTAACACTCAGCTACATCTGGAGCCCATTTATTTATTTATTTATTGAGACAGTTTCTCACTAAATTTCTCAGACTGGGGTCAAATTTCAGATTCTCATGCCTTAGCATCTTAAGTAGATGGGATTACAAGTGTGCACCACCACACCCTATTTTGAATTAAAATTTAAAAAGGTAGAGCATTTGCCTAGCATTCAGAAGAACCTGGATTTGCACCCTTGCATGAAAAATATAAATAAATATATGGATAAATAAATAAGCAAACAAAAAAATCAGAAACCTGTGTTCAAGTACATCATTTAGAGTTATTTTTCTTCTTTTTCATTTCTTTCTTTTTTAAAAAACTTTTTTTCTTGCATGAAGCTGATTATAGTTACTTTTATGGAAAAAATTCAAATGTTTACACTTTCTGATAAACACTTAGAATACCCATACTTAAAAATGTGTTGATAATTTGCTTTAACCAGCTATTAACAAGGTGATTTGATTGGCATACATTTTATTTTCTTTTATTTTTTATTGGTTGCTCAAGACATTACAAAGCTCTTGACAAATCATATTTCATACATTAGATTCAAATGGGTTATGAACTCCCATTTTTACCCCAAATGCAGATTGCAGAATTACATCAGTTACA